CCGGTCCGGACGTCCGGACGGTTACCATGACACAAACATCTTCTTTCTTTTACTGCATTCTCCTTTCTTTCACAGTTTTGCAGTTTTGGTGAAGAGTCTACCACGTCCATTTTTCAGCGCACCTGCAGTTCCTTCTTCATTTTTTATTCTCATTCTCACCCTTCGGACTTTTTCTTTGAGGGTGTTAGGGTGCAGGGTACAGACAAAGTAAAACGACACAAAGTTATGTTCTTCTTTTACTTCAGTCTTCACTGTTTTGCAGTTTTAGTGAAGGGTTTCCCACCTTTGCACATTCTTGTACACTCTTTTCAGCGCACCTGCACATTTTTGTCAGGGTGCAAGGTACGTCTAAGTAAGACCCTCACGACAGATAGGACAACTATCATAAGGATGCGGGCGATGGTAGCANATTCAGGTAAGCAACTTCGTCACAGCAGGAACCAGGACGGCTAGCATCGACCATACCTCTGAAGCATGCACGGCAGAGGGCATGCCGGTTGCAGGCCATAACCATTGTGGGGCGTTCACCATCACAATTAAGTGCACATTCGCTATAGCGCCCGTAGGCACAGATGGGACATATTGCATCTGGATGCAGAGGATGTTCACAATCCGGATACAGGTGGCATCCCTGCCGACAGCGGGCCCGAAAAATTATATGGTTGTAGTGATGTCGACAAAGTCGATGCTTTCCACAACCAAGTGTAACTGTGTCAGTGATCTCACAAAGAAGGAGGTCACAAGGTGTTAGTGCAGCATGCGGGGGAATGATTCGAATGAAGACTAAAGCAGGCACGGTGACAGACATGGAGGTAGGCACGGAGACAGACGCAGAAACGGGTATGGAGACAGACACAGAAACGAGCATGGAGATAGACACAGAAATGGGCATGGAGACAGTTGCGGAGGCAGGCACAGAGACAGGTACGGAGACAGGCACACTGAAGTACACGAGGTACCTATAGGGTCAGTAATCTGGAAGGAGACAGACATAGAAACAGGCACAGAGACAGGTAMGGAGGCAGGCACAGAGATAGGCGTAGAGGCGGGCATGGAAGTACACGAGGTACCCATAGGGTCAATGACCTGGAGCAGTTGCAGGTTAGGGTAATTACGCACGAGATCACAGATGGCATTAATAGTTTGCACCATAGCACCGCCATTCCATAATTCCCAAGAACCAGAGGCACGCACAAGAGCAGTGTAGTGGCCAGGAGTATGTAGAATATAGGCACAAACATGTGAACAGTGGTCCGGGTCGCCACCCGAAGGGACACGCTGCATATCAAGTCGGCGCCTTATCAAAGCAGTCTCCAAAACAGAGACATTGAATCCCCCATGTCGAGTGTAATTACTATCCTGTGGGGGATGTAGAGCCGGGTTATCGCCATATAACTCACGTTCCTGAGCATCAAGATCGGAAGCAATGGCCAAGAAATCAGAGTGAGTATATGGTTCCCGACGATAGGCTTGTAGGCAGATGTTAGTAGCAGCGAGGCCACACAGATTCAGTGGAGGCCGGTCAGGCGGATTTTCTACAGAATCTCCTACAGTCCCCTTGCCAAGTTCATCCTCAGATGGTCCCTCGCCATCATCCCTCCCGTTTTGTGTTTGCCGCGTTGCAGAAAGGTCTGCAGTCGAAGAGCGTTGTAAGGATGCTTGGGGCGGCAAAAGACGAGGACGGGATGTTGGGGAGGGGCGTGGTGGGGAGAATGAACGGGTTCTTCTTCGTCCAAGAACAGAGATGGAGGAAAGGGGAGTAAGCTGAGGTTGGGAAGTAGGTCGAAGTCAGCGTCTAGGACGACGAAGTAGGCTTTCTGCAGGGGCAGAACATGATGACGGAGTCTGTGTGGACGAAGTGGTTTGTGGATTAGGAAGAGGGGTAA